TATTTAATAAATTTAGTTTAATCTGCTAATATATGTTAGTATTTAGGTATATTTTATTTAGAAAAAAAATAACTTACTTTAAAAATTATAACTTTTACCTTTTATACTATAGTAATAATTTACATAACTATAGCTAAAATAGTTAAAGACATATATATAGTAAATAAACTTACTGTTTTTTTTTTAGATATTTTTAGTAAAAATCCTATAAGATTTAACCTACTATAAAGGCTACTAGTGCCTTAGCTGCTTTAGAGTGTGTAACTTTAATTAAAACTAAGTTAAAGCTATTTTAAAAAAAAAATTAACTTATGTACATACTATAATAATCTAATTTATTTACATTTTAACTAACTTTAAATAGGCTGTTATAACTTTTATGTTTAAATCTTTTATAAACTTAGAGTCTATTAGGCGCCTAAAGAGTTTTATTATTTTTATAGTAGTTTAGACTCTTTTATATAGCAGCTTTAAATTAATAATTTTATATAAATTAGTGTCTTTTATAAAAAAGTTAAACTACTTAAATTTACTATTTAAAAGTTTAGGCTAAAGTATAATCTTTTTTTTTTTTTTACTTTTAGTTAGCTTTAACCTAGCTTTAGCTAAATCTATCTAATAAAGTAAAATAATTAGGGTTAGAGCAGGTAGAGCCTAACTTATGCTATATCTGTAATGTCTATACTAGAAATATAGTAGCATAAACTGCTGCTAGAAAGGGTACAGTCTGCCTAGAGCAAATAAAGGTGCTTTATGTTAAGGCTACTAGGTGTTCTAGTACAGACCCTAAGCCTGTAGATATTAACTCTAGGCCTGTAGATATAGACCTTATAGTAGCAGATATAGTCTATAACTTAGCTAACAGGTAAATTGCTGCTAATATTTTCTATAGCTAGATATAAGTTAGATATAAGTAAAAGTAAGCTATAAAAAAATATTATTAGTTTAATTTTTTTCTAAGTTATATTAATCTAAATTAATTTAGATTTACTTACACTTTTACTATACTATTACTAGCTCTAATCTTAGCTGCCTTATAAGCTGTCTAGTCTAGTCTAGCTAAAAGCGTAGGCAGGCACTATCTAGTTTAGTCCTACCTATAATGCTATTAGACTTAGGCAAGACTGCGTGTCTTCTAGTTAGAATATATTAGGTATAAAAAGTAAAAAAGTAGGTTTTAATAATATATTATTTAATAAAGTAAGTTTATTATTATCTAGTACTTTTATTTTTCCTAATTAGCTCTAGATTATAACATGTGTAAAGTAAAACTTACTATTACTATTAGTACTAGCTTTTTTAGCTAAAAGGTTCTAGCTTCTAGTTAGGCCTTTACTTTAAAAATTAATAATAACCTTAGTATTAATTTTTAGTAATAAAGGCTTATTATTAAGTTATAACTAGTTATTATCTAGTGTTATTATAACATTATTAGACATAATCTACTGCGTTAAAAGTAAGTAAAAAGTGTTAGAAGCTGTTCTAATTAGATTTTAACCTAAAATATGCAGATAAAGTAAGATGTGTACTTGTAGTGTCCTTAGTAGTTTAGGATTAGCTAGTAAGGTTGCACTGCCCTAGTTAGGTGGGTTGGTGGGCGTGGCAGGAGGAGATGTGAAGCTGGGTTGGTTAGATTGTTTATTGTGGCGGCTGTGCGCGTAAGCGAGCTGTTACGTAATCATTCCTAATTAGGACTAGCCCCCTTCTTCCTGGAAAGGAAGGCTAATCTGCTCGTATACGTCCACTAATCGCCTCTCTCCCTCCTTTCCTCTACTCCCTCTATTAACCTACTTAGCAGGTTCCCTTGATAGCTTACTGTTAACAATAAGTAAAAGTAAGTATATTGTTGTATGTCTTCCTTTACTACTACTCTTTCCGGTCTATGCTCGGCTATAACGGTGACAGGGGAAGCTAGTTGAGGAACTAGTCTGAGGAGGGAGGATAGTAGATAGACAACAGATTGTTCTGTACCAAGCCGTGTAGCGTGCGAGAGGGCTCACGTGATGGCATTAGTAAATATTTGTACAGTAGATAAGACAATCTAGAGTATCTAGTAATATTTAAAGATAACTACAGAGAGGCAATATAGCTAGAAGATCTATAGTCTTTATATATTCCTCTGTTCCTTAGCTTAGCTGCCGCTAAGCTTTTAGCTGTTGTCTTAGCACTGCTAAAGTTGCAGTTGCTTTTTAGCTGCAGCTGTTTTTCTATTACATCACTTATAACATAAATGTTACGAATCAGAGCAATAAGCTGTAGTAACTGTAAGGCCGAGATGGCGCTTACGTGCGACGGGTATATATACTATTCTGTACGCAAGATTAACTGTTGGTTAATTATTCGCACCTTTTTGGTTGTATTGGCGCAGTGGTACGGAGCTCCGTCCTTACAGTAACTGTAAGGCCGAGATGGTGCTTACGTGCGACGGGTATATATACTATTCTGTACGCAATAATTAACTGTTGGTTGATTATTCGCACCTTTTTGGTTGTATTGGCGTAGTGGTACAGAGCTCCGTCCTTACATAATAATCAACCAACAGCGGGGTACGGTCGGTGTTCGACCCCCACCTCGGTCAGCTTTAAGCCAGTTTTTAGACTGAAACGTGAGGCGGCCT